CGGAAGTTTGCGAGGAAATGCAACCTGCAGAGCTGCGCCGTGACCATTGTCGACCTCAAGATGAAGTGTATGATCATCACAATGTGGGTCCCCAAGTCTATCGAACTCTACTTTGCAAGAGATTTACACTTTATCACTGAGCACAGCATCGTCCAGATGGTGTTCAATGGCATGATTGTATACTCACAGGTGAGGTGCCAGATGCAAGCTCATGTGGCTGAGTGAGTATGTGTGGTATACCTATACTTCTGATTATTCAGGACCCTACTGAAGTAGGCAGTTCGGTGGATACAGTCAGAAAAGTAAGCCAACATTGTAACCACATGCTTATCGTAGCAATTAGGGCTGCAAGTGTAGGAATTCTTCTTAAATACACATTGAAACGTTTTCAGGTTCAGCCCTCCCGTGCCAGTGTCACTATGAAGTTTATCATGAAACAGCTTTTCGACAAACCTGTCCGGAGGGTACAGAAATATTTGAAGGTTTGCCCACAACTCTTTGATGTTTTACCGCACTTTCATTGTGTACTACTATTGTTTCTCTGTGTCCAGTCTCCTCTTGCCAGGGCTGCAGCATATGGTACTCTACAGGAAGTGAGGGAGTTTATAGTCAGTGGAGAAGATCCCAACCCACACACTGTGAGCCCACTCAACCACTAAGTAGGGGTGGGCCTAGCATCATAGATGTATGGGAGTATGATAGGGATGGGCCTAGCATCATAGTATGGTAGGGGTGGGCCTAGCATCATAGATGTATGGGAGTATGATAGGGATGGGCCTAGCATCATAGATGTATGGGAGTATGATAGGGATGGGCCTAGCATCATAGATGTATGGGAGTATGATAGGGGTGGGCCTAGCATCAAAGATATATGGGAGTATGATACAGGGTGGGCCTAGCATCATAGATATATGGGACTGTGATAGGGGTGGGCCTAGCATCAAAGATATATGGGAGTATGATACAGGGTGGGCCTAGCATTATAGATATATGGGACTGTGATAGGGGTGGGCCTAGCATCATAGATGTATGGGAGTATGATACAGGGTGGGCCTAGCATCATAGATATATGGGACTGTGATAGGGGTGGGCCTAGCATCATAGATATATGGGAGTATGATACAGGGTGGGCCTAGCATCATAGATATATGGGACTGTGATAGGGGTGGGCCTAGCATCAAAGATATATGGGAGTATGATACAGGGTGGGCCTAGCATCATAGATATATGGGACTGTGATAGGGAAGAGGTTTAAATGCAATGTTTGTAGGTCGCCACACCTCTTAAAGAAGCCTGCACTAGAGGAGACCTGGAGATTGCTCGAGTTCTACTGGAGGCTGGAGCTGATCCTAACCTAGTCACTGATGTGAGTGAGAAAAAGAGCCACTGGAAAGTGTTTCAACTGTTTTACTGTGACAGGCATGGACTCCTCTGATGGAAGCTGCCAGGTTAGGAAACAGAGAAATGATTCGGTTACTGGTTGAGTATGGAGCCGACCCTAACACAACCAATGAGGTAAGTCACACTCCTCTTTACCCCTGGCCTCTCTCCCTCAGTGAAATGGCTCCTAACTGTAGGAGAATTGGACTGCACTGATGGCTGCATCCAACAATGGGCGTACAGAGGCTGTGGACCAACTGGTTCAGTTTGGAGCTGACCCAAACCTGCAGGACCATGTCAGAAACACTCTGTGCTACATACTGCATGTGTGAAATGGCATTGTGCAGGTTGGCTGGTCGGCTCCACTGGCATCCGTGTTCAAGCAACACGAGGAGGTTGCCCTGAGACTGACTGAGGCTGGAGCTAATCCTCACTTCCAGAATGTGGTTCGTCCAGTGTACCTCGTCCTCAATCTCATCTCACTTATTCTACTTGAGAGATTGGGAGGTACTAACTATTGCTGGGGGTTGTAGCTCGGTGCATAGTCCACTGGATTTCCAGTGACAATGCCTGAGCTCGATTCCTGACAAGAGTTGGTTCTTCCTGACCTGCTACCATTTCTTCTGTCAACTAATATTATGTGTTGTGTTACAGGAGTACAGGAGTCCTCTGAGGCTGGCCATTGAGTTCAAACAGTACCCTGTGGTGGATGCCTTCCTAGACAGATATCCTGATGTCAAGCCTGGTCTTCGTGGCCACCCTGAACTCGACTCCAAAGATAAGGTGAGGCAACACTCTTTTGTGCAGAGAAAAGAAAATTTTTCTCCCAAATCTTACGTATAATTATATAACTTCTTTCTAGGGTCTTGCCTTCCTTTAGACGTCTTGCATGGCCATCTTAGTTAGTGTGCCCTTTCTTGTGTCAGTTTTCTTGATCTGTACTGAATTGCAGTATACTTGTGCAGCACTGCTCGCTAGGTTTAGTGTCTGGTGTTATGTTATTCAGTATGGAGAGACAGACCTCCTGTTTGCCTGTAAGGAAAATGATCTCAGAATTGTGAAAAAGATGCTAAGCAAAGGAGCTGATCCCAACATTCCAAACATGGTGAGTTGCTTTTTCACAAGAAAGTGATGATACAGTGGAACCTCCGAACAAGGGACACTATGGGGCCAATGATTTTGTCCCTTGTATAGAGGTTGTCCCTATCTCGGAGGTCAAATAATACACTAAAGTATTAGACATGGGTTTGAAACAAGTGTCCTTGTAGAGAGATCGTCTATATCTCGGAGGGTATATACCCGTGTCGGAAGTTCACTGTAATGCCCACAGGATGGAGATGTACCCCTTGTGTCTGCTGCTGAACATGGGAGCGTTGAGATGGTGGAGGAACTGCTGAGATTTGGAGCTGACCCCAACCCCACCACTGTGGTATATATGTACTGAAATACAAACAGTGGGACCTCATTTGGAGGTTTTCATTTTTTGAGAGGAACAGAGTTATACGTAATATAAAGTCAGTTGGTACATAAGACAGAGGTTTTCGCTGTTGAAGGAGTTCATTATCAAAGGTCCCATTGTAACTCAGTTTACATTTTCCTTCATTGCATCTATACTAGCTACATCTGATTCACAAAAGAACTCCCATAATTCCTCCCTTAATTGCTTACTACAAGCTATGTACTTTACCCTTGTGCATGTTGAAGTCAGACTAGCAGCAAATTCTACTGATTATACATACATATAATTATTTGCAGATTGGAAGATCTCCACTATCTGTGGCAGCTCAAAGCGGCAAAACAAAGATGGTGGTTCAGCTACTGCATTTAGGAGCCAACCCAAACTATTTTACAGTAAGGACAAAAATAATTATGTATCAGTTAGCAAAACTGTGTGCTGTTGTTGCCAACTATATACTTTGTCCAGGATGATGGAGGTACTCCACTTGCTACTGCAGCCAAGTGTGGGAACATTGAGATGGTTGAGTGCATGTTAAATGCAGGGGCTGACCCAAACATTGCTGAGGTAATACAGAATTCAATTGAGCCTATATTATAACATTTTCTTGCAGTTTGCTGATCAGCTACCACTATACCATGCAAGACGTCTAGATGATGAACAAATGACTGAGCTTTTGATGGATTATAAGGCGGACCCTAACAAGAAGGTACGTGTAACATAAAACTTTGTTGGTGAAAACGTAATATTTTGTACTTTTCTCTGCAGTTGCCAGAAAGAGTTACCCAGCCACTGCAGCTTGCAATGGGATTTCTTAAGAAACCTCTCAGTTTTAGGTAGCCATGTATAAAACGTTCAGCCACGCCCACGACGAAGTATGCGCATGCGTACGTACTATTTTGCACGATATGGGTGGGGCTGGCTCTTTTCACAGCTAGAGAGAAGGATATGGCTCGTGCGAAGCAGCACCGTAAGTGTAAGCATCAAACTTGAACCAACCCTCCATTGACTATTGCTCTTCCCATTCACTGCACTATCAGCCGTTAGAGCTGCGGGGAGGGCACTACTGTCAGAGGACGACGCACTGAAAGTGTACGAAGAGATCCAAGAAGCCAAGAACAGAGCCTTCTACGTCGGGCAACACCTCGGACTGCATGTGGCGGACGTGGAGAGCATCTGCACCCAGGAGAAGGAGGCGCGGGATCAGTTGTACCGGGTGCTCCTCCAGACTGCTAGGGAGGCGAAGCTAACGTGGGAAAAAGTCGCCATAGCGCTGAGAAAGCCGTTGGTTGGACTGCCTCTGGTTGCACGGAGGATAGAAGAGATCCATTGCCGCGGCTCCAGCATCCCAACGTTACCACAAACACGACCACGAACTGCGCCCGAACAACCAACTGAGGTGATATTCTGCTTAGTATTATAGAGCCTACACTCAGATGGGGAAAAATAAATATAAGCTTGCGCTAATAAACTCAGATGCACATAAGTCAACCGTTTCTAGGCTGAATAACTTCTTTAAATTCAGCCCCAGAGGACAACACAGCTGGGGGAGATCAGTGCCAGACAACAGAGATGCTCTAGGTCTGCACACCAAAGAAAAAGGTGCACACGTAATTAAATAATAGCTAACTTATGGCCTCTATTCTCTCCATAGCCTGGAATTGTCCCATCTGCCAAACATAATGGCGGTGCATTCTTCTGGCCCTCCTTATGGACGGACTAGTCGCTCTTACTCCGCTTCTACCAGTCCACCCATCACACCTCCTCACAGCCACACTCACAGCACGTACGAACGAATTATGGTACTGCCATAGATTCATACTACTTCTCCCTGTTGTATTTCTTTAGGCATACACACGTGGCTGAAAGTATGTACCTTCAAGGACGTGTAAGTGATTTTTTCCTGTCTGTATAACCAGCAATTTATTGCTGTGTCCACAGCTGACAGTAAATCACCATGTTCCTCATTCTCGTCAAATTCCACGGCCCCATTCTCTGTCTCAACTCCAGATGGTAAGTTCTTTGTATCATTATGTCCTCACCATCATCTTCTGTTCTTCTACTACAGCCTACCCTCCAGTCTGTCACACCCAGAGGCATGGCCACCGACATTTGATACACAGTAGTATATACAGTCTTATGAGAAATAAAAAAAAATCCCCCTGTGACTTTGTGTTGCCTTATGATCCAATTCAATGAAACCCACAACGTTTTTGCACTAGAAAAATTGGGGGTTGAGCGCAGGTTTTTCTGCCCTCATAAAGAGGGACATTGATGTTCAAACGTTCTTCCGCATTCCCCTTTGGGGGAACCCTCGGGGGAACCCCCAGAGCCTTGGCAGCGTTGAAGGGAAAGACTGAGAAAACACACATCATGGCGACTCCCGGGTCGAGTAATCCCGGCCACGAGGCGTTCCTGGTGCATCTGGACACTCTCCGAGCGGCCGTGACCGATCCCGGCGGATTGGCGACGGCGCTCTACTCTCGGGGGCTCATCGATCGGCTCGCCTACCAGAGAGCCAACCTGACGACTCTAACGATGCTGGAGAGGAGCCAGGAACTGCTGTCTGCTCTGGACGGCAAGATAGCCGCCAGCGAGGCCGCCTTCGATACATTTCTATCACTAATCAGTCGAAACCCAGTAATGGAGGACATGTGCGCTGTTCTGTCAGAGAGTAGAGGTACGTATTATATTAGCTTGCAGGCTATGGTTCACAGCTTTGTTCAAGTTTGTCGCATATCCGTTCTTTAGATATACTTGCAGTGGTGGAAGAGAACGAACCAAAGGGACAGCAAAAGGGCGGAGACGCGACCGAGGAGCGCCAATCGCCGTCGCGCGAGTCTAGCCCTCACCCCCCAGAAGAAAGTCAAGCAACCGGATCTTCTCCATCTTCTGAGGTTGTAAAGAAGGGGCGCCCATACAAGGAGCATTGCGAGGAATCGTTCCGAGAGCTGAAGGCCAATGTGGCAGAGTTCGTGGAGAATACTACCATGTCAGATTTAGTGGAGGTGCTGGAGGAGGAACAAGTGCTCGACAGACTCAAATCCGCTATTTTGGACCATTTATGATGCGTGATGCGTCTCGGATCGGAGAGTACTAAACAGCAGTGCGGACCAGAACACGCATGCGCACGAACGAATGCGGTCGGTGTGCGTGGCGAGCGCGCGAGGAGGGGCGGTGAAAAGGAAAGAGAGAGAGAGGGCTGTGTTTGTTTGAGGCCTGCTTGCTTTACATCAATCTGCGGCCATGAGCAC